CCCCTACATTTACTAATACTTACCTCTTACTATACCTGCACCCCTGCATCTACTAATACTTATCGTTTATTATATTCAATCCAACTTATAATCGTACTTACGTCTTAGTAATATTATTTCCTATCCTTTAATAATCATCTTGCGTTATCGCCACTTCTGTAGGTTACTATAGTCCGTTTCACATTTTCTTGTATTTACCTATTACTGTCTTTTCTGCAACCATTCTTTCTTATCTTGTATATATTGTGAACGTGGTGTTTGTCCGTGCGTTTGTTTGTCTCCGTTTGAAAAGCTGTGCGCGCAGGCAAACCTCAACATTCACTTGAAATGACGGGAGAACAGGCATGAATAATGTTGATGCCAAATTATATTTCGCAAGCAAGATATTCTACACTAAATTGTTAGGAATTAATCACACTATCATTCATATGTCAAAATTTGACGTAACTTAACGAATAAAAATGTAGATTTAAATGCTCAACAATTGCTTTTCGCGGTGGGCGGTATGAGTAGATCAGAGCTTTGGCTCTGAGTGAAACCAAGAGTACAACACAATTAACCTTTTAAACTCCATGAAATAATTTAAATTGAGCAATTAACTTAAACTTTTCCCGTCACTGGGGACGGGTACTTTTGCTCGTATCTTACAATCTTCACTTTTCTATCTATTCGTGATCAGCTCCTGATCTCCACTCATACTCATTTATACTTAATTTTAATAATACTCATTTCGCATTCATTTCTACTCATCTTTTTCACGTTCGCATCACTCATCTTCATCTTTTACTATATTTCCTTCTACATTCTCTTATTGTAACTCTTCCTTGCATTCCCTATCTTAGTGCACTATCTACTCATATTACGTTTACTTCTAGCATATTTATATCTCACTATTTCACTTTTATACCAATTAACCATGTTTTTACAATAATATCAACTTCTGATCAGAGCATCCTATGTACTTAAAGCGAAACTGAAAATCAAACTAGCTATCAGTATAGCTAACTAAACATACTTTTCTAACTATGAAGATTAGAATGTTGTTGCATTAATCGGGTATCCTCGCTGCTTCTACTTTTTATCACATTTTATCTCACTATTTCATACCAGCTCGTACTTATATTGTTTTCATTCGGTATCAGGCCATACTAACTTCCTTATATTTTCACAATCGTATACTCTCATTTATACTAACTCCCCTTTCCTCTCCTCTTTAATGTCTCCCTTACTATATTTTCTTATATTATTATTTTTTTCATCTAGTCTACTTAAATCTTGTTATTTTGAGGTCTGTATCCATTTTCTCAAATATTTCTTCGTTGTTGTTGTTTCAATTTGTTTGTATTTGCATTATTTGTTACAACCCATCTATTTAAAGACAGTTTTATTTAATATTTTACATCTATCTTATCTAACTTAACTGCTTTTTGTCCTATTTAATCTACCTAATATATTGACCCAATTCAGTTATAATTTTTTTCTAATAAGAACATCAAAAGAAAGACATTGGACTTACATTTAGCATTATATCAGTCATTTCTTGGCTTTTAAGTTAATGGCTGCCATTACCTGAACTGCATATTACTTAACATTCTTAAACCATTCTTACTTTGCTAATTTTGGCGTTATTGTTAGGCCTCGTTCTGGAGCTTGCTGTAATATCACAGTATATTTGCATCATGCTTAGGTGTCTTTTTAACTGAAACTTTTCTGAGGTGAAAATAACCATAAAAAAAGATTGTCGTTATCTCAGTGTTTTTGATAATAGGTTGAATATTTTTATATGTATACATAATAATTATACATATAGATTATGCTTGTGACAAGCTGTGCTGCCATAATGCACGTTCTTAAAGTGTTTGTACAAGAACACTGTTTATTATTCTTGTTTTTCTAAGAGTTTTCAATGGATTCGTCAAAATTTATTTTTATGAAATAGAATTTGAGTTACTTGTACAACGTATACAAACAGTTTGAAGTTTTATGATGTGTTATAAGCCATTCATAACTTCAAAACGATTCAATTTCAATGATTTTGCAATAAAATGTTTGGATACATGGGGGAGAGGACCAGCAATGTCGACGGCCACTCTTTTCATTGGTGCACCAACTTGATA